GATCCATACTTCTGACATGTTTATGTTTCAACTATATTACTATAAACAAAACTATATATCTTAAATTTGATAACTCACAGGGACTGTGCCATGCATGGCTTGTTTTTATATGTTCTTCTTATTGTAGACATTTGAAGAAATAAAGAGGGTACAAGTTGAAAAATATCACAAAGCTGCTGCAGATTCGAGAGGCAGGATAGAAACCAACCCTAATGTTATATTTCACAGAGCGTTAGAGAATATCAAACCAGTGATTGGTCTGACTAGTATTACACGAGGTGGCAAATCATATCAGGTAATGAATCTTTCATATCTTGGTATCAAAAACTTATGAAGGTTGCACATTAAGGTTTCATGAAATAAACATTTATATATTTTGTGAATAGATTGTTTATTTTACAGATGTAGATAAATGTGGTCATGGACCAAGTTTTTGGATGAGCGTGGTATTATTTTATGCAGATTACATTGGACTCTAGGGAGAAAAAGTAAAAACATGACCCATTCAATTAGAAAATCGCTTAACGATTTTTTTGAAACTTGAGATAGATACCAAAACAATACGTCTGTTATTATATTTAAAAAAAATAAAAACTGAGTGTGCAGACTTATTTGTCAAGAAACAACAGTTTCAGGAGGTGTTCTCACATAAAAGCTTCATGTTTGTGAAACTTTATTGACTAACCTTAAATAAAAAATAAATGTATGATCATACAGACCATCATACATTGTTGTTGACACTACAATCTTGTTATTGCAACAACGCAAATATTTTCGCGTTGCCAGGTACATTACTTTTGCCATCATACCACAATGCAAGACAAATCATTAAGTTTCATTCAATTACCAGTATGAAATTGTCAAAATACAAATAGTTTGTATTAAAAAATGTAAAATAGAATTGATTTTTTCCTTTTAGGTTCCTGTCCCATTGAAAGAAAGTAGACAGAGATTTTTAGCAATGAAATGGTTACTCAATGAAGCAAGGAACAAACCGAAACCAAAAAAACAACATCTGCCAGTAAGGTTATCAAAGGAGATAATGGCAGCATACAATACAGAAGTAAGTTTTCTGATTGTTAAACTCCGGCTGCAAGGTCATTACCATTAGCGTCCAAGTTGCTGTACTTTAATAATAATACTGAGCAAATTTGGCGAGCTTTAAATGGTTTCTACGTATGATGCTGCATCCAGAGTGACTTCTTTTCAAAAACCGCTGACTTGATTTTTGTTGTGTAGATGGAAATTTGTTCATGAAAAGTCGATCTGCCAAAAATTATGCAAATTAGCTACCAAAACTGCTTAAATGGCTTCTACTACATGTATGACATTATTTCTACAGTGCTGATATTGATAGTGCACATGCATATCAGATTTGTTCATTTTGTGAAGATATCTTCAATTCTCAATTTTAATTTCATTTTTAAAACTATCAGCTCAATTGCTTAGGTACCTTGGGTGGACCTCTGTCAGATTTGTTCACTTTGCGATAATTCTCAATTTTTAAATTAAAAAATATTTTAACTTCATCTACTAGTATATGAACAGCTCCACTCTGTCATCTTTGAGCTAAAAACCAGTCATAATCAATATATAAACATTCGCACTCTCTATTCATATGAGCAATTCTAATAAGTGTCGCTTTACAATGACACCACTTTTAATTCGACTGAAAGGAGATTGTGTGAATGAATAATAATGCTTACTGAGCTTCACAAAAGTAACTTTTACAATGTTTTGTTTTACAGGGTGATGTGATTAAGAAGAAATATGAACTTCACAAACAAGCTGATGCCAATAAAGCTTTTGCTCATTTTAGATGGTGGTAGTGTTAGATAACTGAATGTACAGCATTATTTTGTTTTTTGTAGCATTTTTCATGTATTCAACTATAACTTTAACAGAGGTCAACATTTGTTAAGCTGACGAAAAAAATGTTGTAGGTCGATTTGTTTTATATAATAGATGAGTGAGGACGAACTTTAATTTCATTCTGTAATTGTCATTAAATATGATTTGGTTTGTTGTTTTCTTCTGTCAGATTTCTTATTTAACAATGTTGAACTCCAACACATGAAGACAGCTTTTCTATATATTGTTACAAAGACAGTACAGAAAGTCGTGTAGTATTCTGAGAGAATATTTTGGTGTAGGGAACCAAGAACAGAGTAAAATTATTGGAACTTATAGTTTTCAAAAATGTCTGCCATCTTGTTTTTGTTCCATGTTTGGAATTCAGATTTCCTAATATGGTAGGATAGGATGTAATGGTATTCTATATATTATGTTCTACTCAAAACTGTTCAGTTTATACATGTATATTGTAAACAAACTCCAAGGCAAATAATAACTACTGTAAAATCTATATTATCAGCCATGGCTTCTATTGAATCATTACACTGCAACAGATTGGAGGCGGTTTCTATTAGTGCATTTACATGCAAGAACAGAGAATTTTTGCTTTTCAATTGTTCAAACTTCTATTTGGGATGTAGCTTCTACCAGTAATACAGATTTTAATTCATAGAGGCTTTTGGACAATCTGTGAACCAAATTTGTTTTTTGGTATAAATCTTTGCACGTTATGAAAACCAGCATAATATTTATTTCACAGTCCCTATCAGTATGTGTGAATTGCTTATTTACTTGTGATGGCCACTGTTTGATAAAAACGCAAATCTGTAAAAACAGTATTGTTGCTATCTAGAATATGATTAACCATACTTGTACCAGATTTATTTGAGCCAAAATATTCTAGATCAAGTGCAGCTCACAATACTGTACTAGCGGTAGTGAATATGGAGTGGGCTGCAAACCATATAACCTTGCATAGTATTTAATACATGTCTATTCAACCATTTCAACCCTGTACTCCTTGAAAGTTAATTCATTAGGTGATTGTCCCCGACTGCCTTCTTTAATTCTTATCCAACCAGACCCCCATGTACTTCCCCATATATTCGTTTTGACATATTTACTGTTGACTGTGAAGCCACCACAATTGGACATGTCAACCAAATAGTTTCAAGACTGCAATAAAACTATTTTAAGGTTCTATGAGAACAATTTTAAGGATCTTGCCTTGAAAAGGATCATGGAAAACAGATGACACTAACACCTTTCATTGTCATACAATTACATTTAATGCAGAATATTATGTATACACTGTTCATAACAAATAAATACAATTTATATATGCATCACATTCACTCACTCACTCATGCAGGCCTATAAGTCAATTTCCTCTATTCCCCGTAGTCAGAGCAGCCTGCTAGATTGCCCCAACTCAAAGGACTGTAAAAACAGCTACACACATAATTGCTGTTATTACTTTATATACAACTGCCTTTACTTTACTTTAAAACTATATCCATGATCAAGTATGTGTACGCTGCCGTGCATATGACTCTGTGTTTGGAGAAATTAATTCTACTGCTGCTGCAGCACAATAAAGAAATTTTCAAATGTAACCTAAGTACAAAATAATTTCCAACTTGTCTTTTTTTTTTTAAATGTTTAAAATTAAAAAAAAATCATGCGAACCATTTCAAAACAAATTTTGTTGCTCCTCTGAAAATACAATTAGGTGTTTTACTTATTAGTGCAGTTCAAGCACTCTGTCTTGTGAACCTCGAGTGTAACACATGTTTTTTTGGTTGGTTTATCAATGATTGTGGAACATTTGATTTTGTTAAAATATTGTGTTTTGTGGTATTTTTATTTTGCCGTACATCATGTGTGACCTGAAGTACCATGTTATGACCTCAAGAGGTCAACAGTAAAGTACCAGGATGTGTGACCTTAAGGGGTTATCAATAAAATACCAGTGAGCCTTCAAATTAATTTTCTGGGAAACTCATTCAGAACAAAGCCTGATTATTCACTGCTCTATAAATCACATCACATATAGGCTTCACAATGTTGATATCCTTGTAACTCTAGGTTCCATTCAATTGAGAATTATGTAATACTAAAAGACACCATGAAAATAAAACTTTCATTGTTTCTAATGGCTACAAGTACATGTAGTTGGCCAGTCACTGAGCAGAATATCACAAAATACTCATTTAATATTGATTTTTATATTACAAATTTAATATGGTGACAGTTAATTAATTTCTTGTTCTGTGTGAATAGATAATCAGTCAGTCTTCTGAATAATGGTCACATTTACCCAGTCTACTGCAGGACCATTGACTCAATGTTAATTGCTGGGGCGCATGTAAAATATTGTTTTAAATAAAATCAAAGAAAGCTTAGAAAGAACTCCCGTGTGCTGAGAGTATTGGAGACACATTAAAAATTAATTT